AAGTTTATCAAACAAAAATACAATTGGTTATAGTTATTTAAACTAAACAGGTGAAGATTGGTAATAGGAGTTATGTAATACAAAATCAGTCAACAAAATTAGGTGTTAGTGAAATTAGGGTAGTAACAAAGGTGATGAGTTGTCACAAACAGTTGTTAAAAGAAGTTATGTAATAATATGAATAGTTTGGTGAGTGAGTTTTACTCAGGATGCACAGAGGAACAAAGTGGATAATACGAAATTACGTAAGAGTTCTAAGTGAATACAAGAATCATAAGCAATTAAAGAACAGGCAAAGAAACAAAATTAAGTCATCAAAATCAAAAAAATCGAATCAACAAAGTTGTCACCAAGACAGTAGAAGTGGTTGAGTAATTCTCTTTTGTATGCACAGCTCCGGTTTTTCTATGTAAATGGTCAGAGCTTCAGTAATACAAAGAAGACGAAACCGTATTGCCTTTGATAGGTTATTCTTGACTCTGTAGATTACTTTGAAGCAGGAGGCGTTTGTTGAGATGGAATGATCAGTGTTAACCAGGTGTTCAATTATTGCATTCCTCATTGCACCACTATTGCCTTTTCGCAACCATGCTGGTTAGTGTTCTTGAATCCTCTTGGACAGGATGCGCGTCGAACGACCGATGTACCTGGATCCACAGCAGCAGGTGAACTGATATATGCACATATAAGTGGTCAGGTGCGGGATCTTGTCCTTGAGGCTTCTGCAGATCGGTGGGCGACTGATTCATTTAGAAATCTTACGTAATTTCGTATTATCCACTTTGTTCCTCTGTGCATCCTGAGTAAAACTCACTCACCAAACTATTCATATTATTACATAACTTCTTTTAACAACTGTTTGTGACAACTCATCACCTTTGTTACTACCCTAATTTCAATAACACCTAATTTTGTTGACTGATTTTGTATTACATAACTCCTATTACCAATCTTCACCTGTTTAGTTTAAATAACTATGACCAATTGTATTTTTGTTTGATAAACTTATTGTACACATACATACAAAATAACACACATGTATATATTTGTGATTGTACATCTAAGAAAATGAATTCACCGAAAAGAGACTCTTCGTTGATCTGCGTGTTTTGTTTTCATTAATGCCTGGATGGGGATTATACATGAAGAGAATAAATATAACTAATAATAATAATAATTTAATTTGAACAATTGTTGTAAATGTGTATTTCGGTGAATAGAATTCAGTCTGTACAAAACAAAGGACTGGACACATCAGACTAGTCATTAACTAGGGTTCAATCAAAGTATCCATCACAGTGAGTTGCACGTCGGAATAGCTCAGTGGTAACGTACCTGACTGTATCACTGGGTGACGCGGGTTAGAATCTCAGAAGGGACAAGAGTCTAAAGCAATTAGTTCCCTTTATGAATTTCGACAACACAATAAGAAGACGTAGTTGATCTGTAACGTGTAATGTATTGGTGCAACACATTTCGAACATTCTGATCACACACGTACTTGTCATACACAGTTTTTATAGAATGCAAGAAGGCATGAATAATTACAATACAGGTCAGATTGTGTACAAGCAGAGGTCAAAAATAATGGGTAGGGAGTTGGCGCAAAGGTGTAGGCAAGAAAGAAAACAAAAACAAAGAAGGGGTTCAACATATTATGAAGTAAATTGAATCTTGATTCTCATTTGGATTTCCAAGGCAGGTTTAAGGTGATAACAAATAACTTTTGGATACATAAGACAGGTTAAAGTCCTTTTATGGCTAAAGCTTCAATGAATTTAAGTATGTGGCCCAACCTTGTTTAATATATCGGCTTAAAAGCATTGTTGAAATCAACCTCATGACCCGTCTGTGTTTCGCTATAGATGATGTTGGACATCTGTCTCCGGGTTCAGTTGTGTCTGGCGATTTCATTTGTTGTTGCAGCCACTTTGGAATGTGTTCTGTAGCCCTAACCTGCAGAGACGGATGGTTCCTCCCTATGTACGTGTCTCCACACATACATGTAAATTGATGAACACACTGGGATGTGACACTATCGTTCGGATGATGTGAGGGTTTATAGGACAGCATAGTTCTCGTTTTCTCTATGAAGATAAGTTTAGCTGCATAATGAGTTATATTAATTGCTGCCTTGAGTCTTTGTCTAGGGACTAGACTTTCTTGATGACCTCTGAACGGCAAGGTTACGTAAACATTCTTTTTGGGACAAGAGTCGCTTCAAGGTTGCAGATACTCCTGCCTTGCTGACTGGGGAGTGCCATCTAGCACGAAACCTAGGGTAGAAGGCTTCTTGCCGATTCCATCCAACCATCTAATATCAATAATTCAAAGTACACCATGATGGCAAACTACCTAGTGGCATGACGGCCACATTGCAAACTTGACTGATAGAATTCTGTCCGTACCAAACAAAACACTTGATAGATTACGCCAGTTACTAACTAGTGTCCAATCAAAGAATAGAGTCTCTTGTATGAATCACGTGTCTACTGACCTTCAATAGATTTACATTTTTAAATACGTTAATGTATCGATTCGCTTAGCGTATGATGATAACAGATATTTGACAAAACATTTATCTAGTTCACGGGATTTATTTATTTTGAGTTCTTTCTTTTTGTATTTATTTAATTCATGAGTTATCTTTCTGAATATATGAAAATGGAAGACGATATCATCTCTTTAGCAATACACAGTTTCTGCCTTAACAAATGAATTCACCTTGACTTTGAATCATTTAAACAAAATACCCATTGATACATTGAACATACACACATTTTAATTTCCAGTGTGACAGTCCAGTGAAAGCGATATGTTTGTCTGAAAGTATTGCACTCGTATTGAAAGCTCTAAATTATTTGAAAATATTATTAAATGTAGTCGTTAGGTAGTTAAAAACAAACAAACACAACTGTTCAGATGTTTCAAAGTTTTGTACAATATACAAGAAGAATTTTCAAACGTATAAAGGAAGCCGGCAGTCATTGCTTAAGTAATATGAAACAATCTACGCATGATCAAGAACCATCTTCTTCTGAAACGTTTAGCACTGTCTCGTATATTTCTCAACAACACAACAGTTTAGAGAAACAGACATCAGGGATGGATGGTGAAGATAAGCATGGCATGGAAGAAAATAAATCGACTGGTAGGCAGTCAGTGAAAGAAGGCATAAATCGATCAGAGACACGAACAAGTCTTACACTGACACCTACAAGTAGGAAATCAACTGATATTAATAAGGTGAATAATTCGTTAAAAATTATGCCGTCCCCCAATGTTGATAAAATTCACGAATCACCAACTTCTAAACAATTTAACGAGAGTGAATCGAAAGAGGCAACTCCACAGGTTCCAACAGACCTTCCTATCCCTGTAAAAGAAGAAGAAGAAGAGAAACAAGATGAAGGCGATCCTGGTATTTCGAAAGAATTGTCAGTAGAAAAACCTATCGAGCTAAGTGTAACTCCTCAGTCTGAATTACCACCTTCTCATGTACAAACTGCTGATGAACAGCTGCATAGCGACAGTGACATGAAAAAATTGACAGGAGATTCTGAAGTGAAAATTACCGATGAATGTATGAATGTAGTAACTCCTGTCTCTAGTGAAAAGAAAGAAGACACAATTACACCAAATAATCAGATTCCCACTCCATCTTATCAGACTCCGGGAGATACTGCAGACAATTTAAAATCTCCACTAAAAACTGAGGTGTTTGAAAACATTAAAGCAGAGACTCCTGCTGATGTGATTAATAAGTGTCTGACAAAAGTTGACGAAACACCGAACGTAACCATCGATCACTACACATACAAGCGCATGCAGTGTAAAACAGATAAAGGCATTGTCACGAAGGTGAGCAAAAAGCATATAAAGCAGGGTCCTATTGAAGATAAGAAATCATCTAATGATGGGAAACAAAACCAGCAGACAAAAGATAATACTATTTCAGACGAGAAAGATGATTACCCTAATACTACTAGTACAACTTCTAGTTCCCTGTCTTCTAAACGTATCAGACCTCTTCGGCTTAAAAAGCCTTATAGCCTTAAGAAGGCTATCACAGCTCGACGTCAACCAAAAGGTAAATCTTGTGTTCATTTACACTGTCGTTGTAAACCTATACCACAACATCCAGGTACCATCTGTCAACTATTTTCACCACATGCAACAGGTATGAATCTTGGTGGATTAACGCGAATGAGAGATAGTCAAATCAACAAATTAATAGAAAATGCTAATTTAATTATTGAAATATTAACGGATCATTTTGCATGGGAGCTGGCTGTGGCAATTGTTCAACAGTATCATGACTTACAACAGCGTAAGCTCTATTCAACGACATCAGATTATACTTCATCTCAATGCTGTATACATTATGTACCGTCGTCTGGATTAGAAAATTAGTCTATCTGACAGTTAAGTTTTACCGCCATCTTCTTTTCAATGTTCAGTTTTACTTTATATTATATTTTTTCTTTTTTTCAATTATATTTTTTTTTCAAAAAACTGAGCATACAAGGCATAACTGACTTCTTTACTATGGTGTAATTTGCATGTTGGACAGGGTTAGTCGGGAGAAGATCTTCATGGACCTTGGGTTTTCTTGCGTATGCCTTAGGGACGACACCAAATCGTAGTTTACAGATAGACAAGAGCGGAGTTTTAGAGCGTATTGGCCATTTCTCACTTATTTATGAAGTGGACGGTGAAATCTCAGCATGAATACCAAAGGCACGTTTGAGATTTGCAAACTTACATCATATTGGACTTAGACGTGTACAAAGTACTTGTGTAACGCACAGTAGTTCTTGTCTGTGACTTCATTCATGACTGTGAGACATAGTGACTGAGAGCGTTAGGTGTTTGAAATGGCAAGTTATCTGTGATCATAAGTGGTATAAAATGGTGGTGGCAATATTGAGGTTAGGCGTGGAGTGTGAGCTAACGAAGGTAATTCAATAGATGACGTTGTAAGGAGTCATCAGCTGAGGTGGCTAGGACACGTGTTACGCATATCAAACCACCATCTTCCATTTATTATTAATTATCGATCAATACTCAACCATTTGAGGCTTTACCTTTCACTCTGAGTACAACATCTGAACTGTCTACCGTATTCATCCTGTATGTTTGACATGAATCCACTCAGTTTATTTATGTCCTACGGGACTTCATAATGAGTTGACATCAGTTGGAGAACCACTGAAATCTAGCTTGACGTACTCGATAGCCAATCACTTCATCACTCTACCTTCGAAGTCCTCACAGTACACACTCACCGTCAAGATTTTGAACACAGCACCTTCCTGTTGTAAGGCTAGCGAGCTCGTAGACCACTCAGCCAATGAGACTGCTCCAATGGCCAGCCTGTGAATTCCAGATTCTGCCAATTCACAATACAGAGTAATTGGCACTAGCAAATGTCATTGCTGGCCAGTATTTCTCCTCGCACCCTACCTACTGTACCTCACTGATCACGACTTATCTTGTCTTCTCAGTGAATGCGTACATATAACCACTTTTGTGATGATACGACCATCATCAAACGTCAATATGCGAATAAGGAGCAATGTCAGTATGAGGATAAAAGCTATCGCGGAATGTTTTTGTGCAGAATATAGGCAAACATCACAGCAGATATTCCACCTGTGTGAAAACGAGGTCGATTAAACAGACACAAGTAACCTCTGATGTGATTACACTATTCCATTCGGTCTGTCATACAAAATCAACTATCTGATTTGAATTTGAGTCGTTATGGACCGCCTGAATTCTACTCATACAACCAAAGTGAAACAGAAGTGGGTAATGTCTGATTTCTGATAGGTTATATCCTTGTAAGACAACAATTTCTAATTGGCGGATTCACAGACTCGTTTGTAAGCTCGTTCACCTGAAATCTTCTACTCGAATTTCGTCGATTCTACTAGAATTTATCCATTCATGTGTGGAATTCAACTTTCGACAACCGAGAAGTGCAGAAATGCAGACGCACAAATGACTTTGGGAAAAGCCAATGTTCCGAAAAGACAGATCTGCTCTCCTCAGTCAACATTAACCATAATCTCTCTCTAACCCTGGACGATCAATCAGAATTCAGATGCGAAATAGCCGAACCAAAAGACATTGCAAACATGATATCATACTATACAGTTGTCATTTATGTTTGTTGTGAAAATTTCTCTGTGTCACTACACAGATGATCCGATACAGAAATCATGCTATTCGCGATGGATGCATTCGTGTAGGGTGACTGCAGGTCATGATACTTTGAGATCTATTGATATTTCTTACACTTTTCTTTCAACTACTCCTAACTCTAACCGTAATCTAAACCTTAACACTAGACCCTAATCTGAAAAGCCACAACCCTACCGACCAGTATAGATTTACAGAATAGACGTCTAGAGAATCAGTGGAATACTGTATCTGCCTACTCGAAGTCCAAAATAACAGGCATGATTTTATTTGGAGTAACTTTTCATAGCATTCCCTGTATCTGACTGAAGATCATTGAATTTCAGATTTCGAAAGGCCTTGACTTTTGCAATCATACTTTGACTTCGCCTCTATTACCCAACCAACCAACACTAATATCCTCCTAATTCAGTGAAGTTAATTCATACCAGTCAATCTGATCGAACTAACTAACTACCCACCATGAGGAGAAATTGGGAAATGTGGTGGAGCAAGATCAGCGAAATTGTTGAGAAGATGGATATGGATGACAGAGTTTCGAAATCTCAGCATATTTATTACTGATATCCTCCCAATATAAAGAGAATCCTCCAAAAAGACCAGCATTCCTGTCAAGTCTACTCCACGCGGATTAATGTTTTCATAACTATAACTAATCAATTATTATTCACGCAGTAATAAAACAACGCTCGATTTTCCTGGAATTCGTGAAGAAAATCTAAAATGAATGGCATAATCTGACCTGTCTTTACAACCTCCATCTCCTGGTGGCTATCGAAGGTCGTGTCTCGAGAGGGCTGTTATGGTTTAACTTCGCCATCCATTCTCATTGAGATTTGTAATGCCACTGTTGTTAGCCTGAGGTGTACTCCACACACTCATCTACAGCTCAGAGAAGTAAATTCGGTGCAGTTCAACAATTGCGTCCCACGAGTGTGGACGCTTCAATGACCTTGAATGCATGCTAGTCGTTTATCAACGGCATCTTTCCTTTTCACAGCTGAAATATCAACGCTATTCACCTACTAAGGAGAAAATTTCACCCAGATCACGTTCTCAAATACTGTTTGGACAATGTGTTAATATCTCGTTAGGTTTAGGATCAGGGTTATACTTAGCATTAGGGTTAAAATTACGGTTTGAATAAGGGTTATGATTACAATTAGGATTAAGGTTAGGTTTAGTTTTAGGGTCAGGATTAAGCTTATTGTTACGATTAGGGATAGATTTATAGTTGATGTCATTTATTTTTATTGGTTTTTATTATCCACGTTCTCCTGGTAAGTAGTCGTCTATCCTCCTGCTGGAGACCATAATAATTCGACCGCGGGCTTTCTTGGAAGACTGCAAGTAGGATGAGGTAGAGGGATAAACGATTCACAAAAACAGTTTATCTGTAGTCATCTCGGTGAATACATGTACAGAAACTAGTCTAACTTAGCAACTGATACTCCTCGTTACAACTAGGACGTATTTTTAAGCCATGTCAGAGAAAGATAACCTGTTTAATGTATTTTCATGCATTTTCTTGTCAATATGCATCATTTTCTGAGCAAACATTCCTCAATTTTACGATTAGGGTCAGCTGAAGGTCACTCGTGCGTTTGCACTCCTGGGACGCTAATGTCGAACTTTGCCGTAAACTCATGAGCAACACCGTCATCTCACTGCCAACACCACACGGAAACAGCGACAACGATCACAAAAGTTTAAAACACACAGAAATCGATATTATTTATTGTTGGTTGATAAATGGTAATTTAACACAAATATAAAAAATAAGTGGAAATATCTAAGGAACAGAATGTTTGAATCTCGTCACCACCAACAACAACGAATCTCATCTTCACAAAACCAATTTGTTTCAATGATAACCTTCGACAAATTCAATCTATCATCACCATGGGCATCAGTATTTATGGCGGTCAACATGAAAGTAGTTGTACAGCACAATGCAGGTAATTACTATGTATAAACTGACAAACGTGACAATGAACATGAGGATATAAATTTTACGTGTATGAAAAGTTTTGAAGAATGACTTGAGTGGTGTAGAAGAATGAGCAGAACTCTTGGAGGAGGCGTTAACCAACCACTCGTCATTGAATCTCGGACAGTAATCTCCAGTCTTTCTCCTCTCACCACGTTTATCATATTCATGAGTATGATTGATAATCTGCATCGTTGGCACTATGTAACGGATCACTACGAGTTCTGATGCTCCCCACGACAACGACGACGACGAGGATGAGATATTCAATTTCTGAATGATTGAATTCTCACCAGGTAATTGTGTTAGACGATAATGAAATATACACGAGCAGATGACAATTCGACACAACCTGACAACATTTCGACGACAGCTGACAACCTTGACTTCTTCACTAGTATTCATCGCTGTCCATAATAATAATTCCGTTCGATTAACAGATTGTTGTCGTTTACTGAGATGATTGTCACCACGACCACTTCCTCCTCCCCACCCTCCATATTCTTCTCCTCCTGCTCCTCGTTTCCATCTGAAATGATGACTGCATCCTACAGTCAGTTGACACAACGTCTCTACAGGATGACATCCAAATTGTATCCTGTCCAATGGAGAAATGAAAGCCACTTTATTGACGAAACAGAGATTATTTCTGTAACATTTTATAGTTGGTATTTCAGAATCATTATTGTCATGAGGTTTCAGTTGATTCCGATGAATATTTAGCGTGTTGACTTCACGAAGAGACAAGTATATGAACAAGGAAATGTAACACAGACTCTGCATTATGCGTTTGTGGTGAATGCTCGAAACTGAAAATTGCAATAATTTATTTGTTTGTGAATTGACCAATCATCAGCTGGCTTACCAATCTGACCAATGGGATGAGAGTGTTCACTGCACGATACCAACATGCATTATTACCCACTATGATTAAGGTTTTTGTATTTCCCAATGAATGAAAAACAATGAACGATATTGTTCTTTTTACTGACATTTCGCTATTTATTGCTAATAGCTTTATCAAAGTATTGTTAGACCGGAATTTACAAAATCTCAGCATATATATAACAAACATTATGAACTATTTAAATTAATCCCAGCGTGTTAAGAATATCAAAAGAAGATTTTTCTGAACGTTTCGCTGTGTTAGCCACAGCTTCTTCAGCAGATTTATTCGGATTTTTATTATTCATCAAAATATATAGTCTAAAATTTA